CAGCAAGTGCACAACAAGACACAGCAGCAAAGCAGGGGCTGCATTGGAAACCAAATCAATGGCCAGCAAGAAACTGATCTCCTGGTTGCAGACCCATCTGGGGCTTTTCAGCAATGAAATATACTCTTGCCACAATATGTTGCTGAAAGGGGGTGGCTCAGCAGCCACCAATGATGTTGTGCTGCTTACCAGTACCGCTGGCAGATGGGATGCAGGCAAAGTGCTTCTGCATTTTGGTATTGGTAATGAAGCTTGGTCTTTATTGAGAACTTTGGAGCTAGTGGAATATTTTCCCAAAGATAGAGCAGCTCTGTGGAATGAGACCAGCAATTGGGTGCCTGTGCCAGCTTCTGAAATCTTGACAACTGTCACCCACACCCCCTACAAAAGTGGAGTGTTGACCTTGGCTCCTTTGCACCTGAGGTGAAAAACACTTCAGCTGCAGCGTTGCTGATTCTCACCTGCTGCAAGCCTTCAATGCCTAGACTGAGCATTGCAAGCCTCCCATGGCTACAGTTTTTTTTGCAAACCCTGCTAGAAGTTTTTTAAAGGCTGAAAACAAAAAACTTGCCAGAGCAAACTTCTTCAAAATTTGCCAGAAAATCTTTCACAGAATTTCTTTGTGAGTTTGAAAATTCTTGCCAAATTAGTTTTGATGTCGGGCAAAATTGGTTTTATTGTCTTGGAAATAGTGATTTTTTGTACTTATGTTAGATACACTCTAAGCGAGTAGCCTACACTTAGTAAAAGTTAGCTAAACTATGTTAAACATGTTAAACCACTAGTAAGGACCCAGCCCATCCAAGAACCCTCTGCGGAGATCGCGCGTGTCGAGCGCGCGAAATGCAGGCGAGAGCGCGATTTGTCCTGCGCGCGGGCAACCCTTTGCGGAGATCGTGCGTGTCGCGTGCGCGAAATGTAGGCGAGAGTGCGATTTGTCCGTGGCGCGCGCAACCCTCTGCGGAGATCGTGCGTGTCGAGTGCGCGAAAAGCAGGCGAGAGCGCGATTTGTCCTGCACGCGGGCAACCCTCCGCGGAGATCGTGCGTGTCGAGCGCGCGAAATGCAAGCGAGAGTGCGATTTGTCC